TGCTGCCAGCCAGATATGGAAAGCTCGACACCATAAATGGTATTATCGCATATTCGCCGAAGGTGCTGCAAATAGTATGAGAAATTATATTCAGATATCGCTGTTTGTCTTGTTATTTTTTTTCTGTTGTGTGTCTACTGGGTTATGGTCAAGGCAGGTTTTTTTTAGACTTATTCAACAACTAATATTTATTAAATTAATTTTATATCGCAAAATAATAGACCAAAAGCGAAACAGACAAATTCAAATAAAAGAGGAATACAGTTTTAAGAACTTTGTAACTGCAATAAACTTAATCAAACTAATCAAAAATACATATTGTGTTATTTTACTTTACTATTTTTAGGGAAAATAAAGTTCGATTTATAAATGATGGTTGGTTCAAAGTTTTCACTTTGAGCCTTTTAATTTAACTAAAATATCCAGATTGTATGAAAGCTATGTTGATAAGCCTATGGATGATTATGATCCACGCAATTATAAGCATGTCATACTCACAGATACAATTCCCTGGAATCGTAGTAGAGGGCAAAGATAAAAACGCTGAACACAAACAGCCAGGTGAAATGATAGGCAACGCTATGTTTAACAGCCTGGGAGCGCATTTTGTCCAGTTCGGCGACCCGACGGCACTTCTGAATTATGACATCGATCTCCGCGAGTCGAGTCTCAAAGTCCACAAAGAACTGTTTGCGGCGATACAAACTCAGCAATATGACGGTCACATAGAGAAAGGCGCCGAGATGCATGAACAGATTGTTGCTCAGTCGGCAGACACTGTTGCAGTCATCCAGAAATGGCAGACCGAATCTGTGAAACAGATTGATGCCCAAATAGGAGGCCAGATACAAACAGGGCATAATCAACATCATGACATAGTCCAGCATAAAATTCGACTGCAATTGCTGTCGATTCAGTGGTATGAGCCCAATGGCCTGGAGTATGGAATCAAACAAATATATATAATAATGTTCCGTGTTCTATTTTCGCCCAATAATATGCATAACTCACCATTGACAGCCAATTCATAACTTGTATCATTTTGTTTTGGTTGTGTCTCTCCGAACTAACTGCCTCGCTTTGCTGCACGCTCTGGACTAACTTGCCACCTCGAGTGTGGCTTCGATTCGACCCTATATATTGGTTCAGTTTGTTGTCATAATAAAAACGGTTTCATTGAGTGGATAATGCGCATATGTTTAAGATAAATATCTTCGGAGTTGTGCGCCTCCCCAAAAATATGGGGCTGAAAATGCTTTTAGTTTATTAAATGCGAACAACAAATGCACTGAGCGAAATTACGAAATATGTTCAGTCATTTACCCATAAATGCTTGGCAAATAATTGCGATAATATAGTTAAATAAGTTTGTTTACTTTACCAACACTTTCTTAAGATGAGTCCAATAGCACTTTATGTTGGGACATATTTCGAATGAAATAAACTTCTAAGAATATAAAACTTACTAATATACATATATGTAATTTTCATATATTATGCCAGCTTTTTTTCAGTTTGTTTTTCAAGCGATTAAATAAACGTTTTTCGATTTGTTTGGTTTATTACCCAACACTGACTACCTGTTTAGTGTTGCCATCCAACTGAAATAAAGCTCTTTTAAGAGATTGTACCTCGTTATTTTTTTGCGATTAGGCGAGTTGTATAAAATTCTTAATTAGATTTTGGCTAATTTCATTTTCATCAGCATCTCACAATTTGCTCTTAGAACTATTTGCATTGTTTTCTCCTCCATTACGAGGCACTACAACAATTTGCCTGCACTTGGCGGCATCCTCAGAGCTTTATCTAATAATTTCCACATATTTTCACCGTATTTTACTTGCTAATTAAACAATTATAAGTTAGAGGCCCGACATCTAGGCTGGCTTTCAGGCCAAATTAACAACTACAACGACATCGACAATGGCAACAGCAACAGCAACAACTACAATAACAAACGCATTAGCTTTGCGCAGCGCTAAGAAAACCAATTAAAAGCAAAGCCCCTTGCAGCATTAGAACCGACACATGGATGATAAAATGCTAATTTCCCTCGAGCTGACGGCTGCTCTAAGCAGGCGGGCAGCGGTGGGGTATCATGATGAAGCGGGGAGAGGGTTGTGTTCTGTAGGACTTACTTGTGATACGAGTAAGCTGGTTCTGTTGAAGGTGTTGGCTTTTGCTTCGCATAGTTAATAATTGAGTTTGCAACTGAGGCACGCACAGTACAGCCAAAACACACATACACACACACACACAGGCTCGCACACACACACATGCATACCGTACACACATGTCGTGAAGAGCGGGTATTCAAGATGCTTTGAGGCTTATGCCTCTGCACGCGCTAAGACCGCATAAATACAAACACACACACATTCGCACAACTAACTCTAATGGCGCTTGGCTAAAACACACACACACACACACACACCCACATACACTTTTTGTCTGACTAGCCGCATCTTTGTCTATGCGAAAATTGTGAACAGATTTAACTGCCGCTCAGCCGCTGGGCTTTATCATTTGTGTGTTTAAATTTTGATAAACCCGCTTCTATTTGTTATTTCAACATTATCTTACTTGCTGCTTGTAGTTATTGTTATTGTTATTGCATTGCTGCCCTTGTCATAAACACGCCCCCATTTTGCGCCCAATCTTTCGTTGCGCTTTATGGCCGCTGCGTTGCCGAATATTTTGTGGCTTTCCGCTTTTTATTTGCTCCCACTGGCGGTATCAATAAAATTGCGGTCATAAACTGAAACCACAGCAGTGCCACGCCCCCAGCGCCAAGCCTCAACTAGCCTCATCCTGCTGTCAGATCCGCTCCCAAGTGGCAGCGCTTTAGTCACTCAATCAAGTGGCATATACATTCCGTGGCCCCGCCCACAATTTTCGTGCGCCACGTAATGAGTTTGTTTGGGCAAGATTTTGGGCAAAGATTTGCCTAAACGTTTCTTTGGTTAGCCAGAAATTACGAGTCGAGTCGCAAATGTACAGATTGCCTTCTAGAAACTGCAGCATGTTGACTTTTCCAGGCACTTAAAGCCTGCAAATTTTGTAAGCGCGTTTGCCTTCCGATTAGGGGTATTACTGCAAACCGATTACAAATTTATCTTATCTTTAGTGCTAGTTAATAGAGCTAAGAATTGGTAAGTTTGCACTAAAAGTGTTTAACAAAACTGCTGTATTTACGAAATTCCAGTGAATAGATTTAGCAAAGCTGAAACGTGCTCGTTTTCCAAGAACATATTTAAGACAGAATACTTATTTAAAGCCTTTGCAAGAATTCTGTTTGGCTTGCACTGCAAAATGTAGCACATTTAAATACATATACAGTGCTCGCCGATTGACTTGTCCTAATTTAAATTTGCAAATAAATCTAGAAACTATCTTTTCTGTTGAACATTTTCTTTAAATTTTTTTTTTGAAAATTTAATACGCGATTTAAAAATTAAGATTTAAAGTCATAAGAAATTGATATGATTATAAATCTTATATAATGATGCATTTTTTTCAAGTCGATTAGTAAGAGTTATGATTTTAATTTAAGGGCGAAGCTAACTATTGAGCAATTCAATCGAGCATGCATCCATGCCAAAATGAATTTTTCATTACAAAGATAATTTGACACACATTCTCAGTTAATTTTCATACGCGGGTGAAATGGGCTATGATTTTTGCACTTCTCTGAAAGCATTTCCAGGAAATTCGATAAGTGTAAGGAAGCTGCGTAGCCAGGTCTCACATAATATCTTATTTTGCAGGCATGCTCCTGGTGGTGTTTAATATCAATACAGGCTATGCGATGAACAATTTTCGGTGTATGGAAGGTAAGTAAGGTAAATATATCAACATGGATATGCACAATATATCTATGCAAATCAAATTTGCAGCTTTTTTAGTAGTCTGCTGAGATGTAGAATATGGTCTGCATATAAAATTCGGCTTTTGGTCATTTGTTGTGTTTGGCAGGACCTACAGAAATTGAGTCCTAAAACGTGAAAGTGTCTGAGCGAAGCTCAACACAATCTGAAGTCTGCAAAAATGTTTCTTATGCTTTTCCAGCCAACTAATAATGACGCTGCTTGTTTTGTTCTCTTTAGCGATTTTAGTGGCTTCGCTTACATAAATATTTCAATGAAAGCCATTCATAAAGGTCTTCAGTGTGCGCTGGTCCCAGCCACGTGTCCTGTCCGAGAGAGCCGACCGAACTGCGAACTGAGAAATTGAGCATTGCCGCTTTTCCGCTGAGCTTTTCACCACACATTTTAGCGCACAGAACAACAACTTTTCGTGCAAACATTTCGAGTTTAATTTGTTGTTGCCGCCAGTTTTGGAATGCAACTCGGCAACCGACAATATGCACTGGGCAACGCACAGCGGGCAATATGTTGATTTTGCCCAAATGTCAAATGCCAAGGATGCGTGCAGCAATTGTCGATGGCTCTTTACAAGTTGCTGTAAGTCAATGTTATGTCTGTATTCTGAAGATCAAGTCAGACATGGCTAATTTGTTGTATGCCTAGCTTTCTATTAAAAATCAAAATATCGTCTTATTAAACATAAAATATTTTATGCTATCAGCATTAAAGGTGGTGTTGGGAACTTAATTATGAATTCAATTGAGAATATTTTAGTTTTAACTTCACTTCAAGCATCTCTGAACCCATAAAGTATGTATTATCGATCAATATCAATAGCCGATTGAATCTTTTAAAATGCGTTCAAATTATTAAACAAAATGAGGTTTAGTTAGGACACAAACCAAAGCATGCATTGCAAAATAAATTGTATGACGGCGCATAAGAGTATGCTGCAGTTATTTTCGGCGCTCTAGCCAACCGCACAATAAAAGATCAAACGATCGATGATTTTGATTGGATGCGTGTACGATTTAAACATAGCAAACGAACAAGAAACAGCACTGAAAGAAAAACAACAACAAAGGCGCCTTCGGCCGATAGGTGTGCGGCGTTGTTTTTGGGGTGTGTGTGAGTTTTGTTTTGTGTAGTCGTGGGTTAAGCGCTTAGCGCAGCGGACGTCGCTGCCGGCTGTGTTGTTCGAATTATTGTTAAGACTTTGTGCCCTCGACAAAAATATTTTAAGTGTGCGTTTGTGTGTGTGTGTGTTGTGCATGTGCATTATGTCAATGCATCACAGTGACAGCAAACAGGACACAAAGGATGCCAGGCTCCTGCTGCCGGCATTTGTGCAGCCGCGTGCGCCATTGCAAAAGATTTTCATTGATGATTTGACGGCGACGCATTCGCTGGAGCGACGACGACTCTGGCATGTGCCCTGGTTCCTATTGTTGATGTCCCTTGTGCAGGTACATAGTTGACGCGCTGCCTGCCCTCGCTGCAGTTGCTCCACATTTGCCACACGTGCCACACGGCGTATGCGCAATGTGCGTTCTGTTTAATTGTGTGCCATTTGTTGTTATCATTTTCCATATGAAATACAATTCAAAAGATTTTTGTAGTTTCATTTTCATTTGCACACATTTCTATCGCCACTTGCGGTTCATAATTACTTTTACTTTTGTTTACACATATATTTCGCCCGCATCTCGACGGAAGATTTTCAAATTTATTTTTAGCGCTCAGAATTCGTGTGAATCTCTTTTGCAAATTATGATAATTTTTTGTTTTGCTCATGGAATTGTATTTCACTTATCAGGCTTTTATTTTCATCTATACATTTATGTTTATTTACGTGGTTTCTGAGGTCGCTCAACCTTTAATCAGCAATTGTGTTTTAACAAAGAGTTTCCTCATGTCAATTGCATTTGTTGCGATTTGTTGTGAATCATTTTCTTTCGAATTCACATGAGGCAGATAAAGTTAACCATTAACTTTTACTGATTAGGAAATTGCTGTCGCTGACTTTGCGTCTGCGCACATGAATCAAATGTGTACTAAATGCAAATAATAATTAAATAAAATTTAAATTACATTGAAAACAAGCACAAAATTTTAGCATTCGTTAGAACATAATTTTCTAATTTGCTCTAGCACTTATTTAAAAAGTGACTGAAACAGGCCTTAATGTTGTGATGCATATTTATAACTCACTTGATGACAAATCACTTGCTTCCTTTCCAATCCGCATGACAACTGCGACGAGTGTTCCAGCCGATTGCACGTTTTGTGCTGCTGCAAGTGCTGCGGTTTCATCACAAGTGGTAGCATTCACCACACTCAACACCCAACCATCCATGCACCCACTGGGGCGAAGTCACACAAGTGCTTCCCAGTCTTAGCCATCATGAGTTGGCCCATTTGTGGCACAGATTAATGAATAGATCCTCTCATTTTCTAACATATTTGCAATATTTGCCAACTACGCGCTGTAATGCCGCGTTCGCTGTTAATTGTTTGAGCCCAGCCCAGCTAGGTTAGGCTAAGATATTCATTCCATATTACACAATCTCAAGCTTCAACTCAATTCGAATCACAATCGACGTGGCTCGAGTCTTATTGCCATTTTAGTCAGCGTTGACTTAAATGTTGCAACTGACATTTGTCATATTTGGCGTGAGGCATGTTGCACCGATTTGGCGTTGTTGTTTTTGTTGTTGCTTTTATTGTAGTTGTTGCTGTTGTTGTTGTTGTTGCCATGTCAAGCTGTTCTTGGCACTCACACTTGGACATCTCACACTTGGCTGCTGAGCGAAAGTGACAGATGGCTTGACATATTTTTTTTTTCTTTTATTTTGATTGATTACACTGTGCAACAAATACCGCGCGCCTAGAATTGAGTTTATTGCTATCATATTGTTAATGTATATCAAACTAAAATTCTTCCCTCAAAAACATGTTTAAATATGTTGCAATGATAATAGCTTGAAGGGAGAAAACAACAAGTTTTTGTTAAATGTTAAATAAATATTGATAAATTGAATAGCTGATTAAAAATATGCTTATATCATTTTATCCACCAAGTAACTCTGGCAATTGTAAAAGAAGTATTGCTTACCAGCAAAAATTAAACATAGAATGTCATCTGAGGAATATTGAAAAATAAACCACATCAGTTTTTCTCAAATGAATGAACATAAATATAGTTATATTCCTGTACAAAGTTATAACCAATTTCTAAAAATCTTTCGCCACCATAGCCTGTAGACGTTGGCATACTAGCCTTTAGTTTTGTAGCGCAGTGTAGTGTTAATGTTTATCGTTTAAGGTCACTTATTGTCGCTTCCACATTCGCAGTTATCGCTGCATCTGATTGTCAATGGTTGCATGCAGCGGCGTCTCATCTACAAGCCGGAGCTGGGGCACGAATATTGGCGCTTCTTTACATACATGCTGCTCCATGCGGATACCTGGCACTTGTGGATCAACATGTGTCTGCAGGTGGGTTGGCCCACTGAACCACTTCAGATGCACTCAGGCTTAATGTTTTTGATTCTTTCTTTTGCTTTTCCTTTCTTTTTTTTTTTGCTAGTGCTTTATTGGTGTCTGGCTGGAACTGGAGCAGGGTCATTGGCGTGTGGGCGTGGTCTACATTACGGGCGGCATATGCGGCGCACTGGCCAATGCCTGGCTGCAGCCGGAGCTGTCATTGTTGGGCGCATCGGCGGGCGTCTATGCCTTGCTGTGCAGTCATGTACCACACCTGGTTTTGGTCAGTCAACTGTGTCTAAATCAAATGCAACCGCAATTTAATTTTATTGCATACTCTGTTCGCAATGTCGCAATGTAGAGGGAATATCAGCTTTGTATAATATCCGTCTGTTCGCTTGTTGAAACTGAGACTTGTGTGTCTCTTCATCTGACAAAGTGCTGAGAATTGTGTCCCGCACAAATTGACAGGTAAACAAGATAGTAGCCGCCTCCTGACTCTTATATCGAACTAAGGCCTCCTTTTGATTTTTTTATGATGTGAACAGAGTATAGCGTAGTCGGTTGCAGTCGACTGCAATGTTTTTATTGCATTACTTTGTTTATTTGTTTTTTATTTTTTTAATTTTTTTTTTTATAGAACTTTTCGCAATTGTCGCATCGCTTTTTGCGCATTGCCATCTTGTTGATTTTGTTTGTCAGCAATGTGGCATTCACAATTTTTCATTATTGCATCAATCACAATCTCAATCCCCGCATCAGCCTGGAAGCCCATTTGGGCGGGGGCGTGGCCGGCTTGTTAAGCGGCTTCCTCGTTTATCGGCGATGGCAGCGTCTCGACTCCCTCGGCCCGCACATGCGTAATTTCTAACTAATTGCTAAGACTATAATTAGATATTTGTTCTGTTTTTAGCCTTAATTTAGTGTTAACATTTTCAATTCCAGTCAAGTCCGCCGGAAAAAGCAAATTAAACAATTTTTTGCTTATTTATTTATTGTATTTTTTTTGGTAGCTCTCGCTTTAAATTTATGGCCAAGCAATTGACTTCGACGCGTTCTTTAAGGGCATGCACAAATTTCTATGCAATACGAATTGTTTGAATAAATTTTATTGTTACACCCTCGAGTTGTTTTTATAGACCCCAATCTGATGATTCAGCTAATTGGCTGTTAAGATTGCACGCAATTTTACAAGGCGAATTTAAACGGCTTTTCGATGTCAGCTCATTAAATATTTATGCGGGCATAACTTAACTGGATCATTGTGATTTTGAGAAATGTAAAAGGTTTTCATTTATTTACAGCATTGGTATATAAATGTTCAGCTGTGAGATTGTTCGCATTTTCATTACATTCTCAGTATCTCATTAAATTCCTTTAAGTTCGATTGTATATCAGATATAGAAAAATTTATAATTCTAAGGAAACTCTCAATTTTATAAATTTTACCTGAAAAGCCTTTGAATATGTGTAGACAATGTAAGTGTTAGTAAATTCCATTGGATTTGCATGCATTTTTTTTGCTGTCCGAAAGTGAGTCAAAAGAGCTGCATACTCTGCATATAAAGTTTCTATTCCATTTCGTATTCCGTTGAGCAAAAATAATTGATTATTTTGAATTATAAATAAAAAATCGATTATAATTTTAGAAAAATATTAGATCGGGGTCTTTGTAAATTCAGGAATAATATTATTGAAAACTACCAGATATCAAGTATTGTTTAGTGATAATTATTTTACCGTCTGTAGTTTAGATTAGACTACACAGTTGTAAAACAATTTTCGACAAGCTTGAACATTCCTAAAATAAATTTACTGAATTATTTGTTGAGTTTTCTTGACTTTACCTTATAATACCTTATAGAATTTCTTGTCAAAGGGGGGTAACTTTTTTGTTTTCCAAGATATTTTTGTTAAACTCTGGCAGTTAGAAGCTTTATCATGTGCCTAAAATATGTACATATTCCTATTAATATCGGATTGAAACTACTTTGAATATACTCGTTCGAAAATAGAGTATTTTGCAAAAGCCCCATTGTGTGGCTAATTATAGAAGATTCTGTGTGTCTGTTTTATGTTTGCATTTGCTTTTGATCTACGACAATCCAATGGGAAGTATTCTCACTTTCCAAAACTAACACAGAAGGCCTTAAAAGATTTTAGGTATATATACTCTGAGATATATGCTATGTATTATTTAGTGTTATGATATAAATGTTAAATATATTTATAAGAGTTACGTTTCTCTCTAGTATTTTTAAATCAGAGTTAGACGTTTAAGGATATGACGCAAAAAAATATGTGAGAAAATAAATGATCTTGCTATCAATAAAATTGATGACAATTAAGTTTATTTTTCGTGTAGATAAAGGCAAATAATTACTTAAATTTAAAATTAAAAATTAAATTATTAAATAATAATAATATTAGATTTTAAATGCGTTGAAGAAAGTTCAAGTTTGGTTAGATCAAAATAGTTGCAGCGCATAGCTATGTCTATAATACAACTTAATATTAAGTAAATACATAAAACTACAACTAACTTAAATCCTTTGCGATTAGACGACTATACCAAAGAGAGCTTTAAGCCTAATATGCGTGCTAAAAACTAGATGTTAAATGCAAAAGTAAACAGCTAAAATCAAAAGTGGGCAAAATGTCGCTGGTTAAAATTCAGACACATACACAGACACATACACACACACAAACACGCACACAGACAGATGCGAGGGTAGCTGCAGGAGCATTGCTTAAATTAACAGTCTAATGGGCCGCACTTGACGCCCACCTCGGTGCATTTGCATTCCAGACATTGATTGGATAATTCGACTATAATGCGGCCAACGCGATACATGCGACCATAAATGTTGCAGCCGGCTAATTTTAGCATGCCCGTGGGATCCATGAGGCCGTCGCCCGCGCCCCCTCCAGCCGACAAATTGGCATCTGCTGCTCCGGATGCTGCTCCGGCTGGTGTTGCCATTGTTGTTGTTGTGCTGCTGCTGCTGCTCGGCGCGTGCTGATAATGATGAAATTGCTGCGGTCGCTGTTGCTCGGCTAACAGCTGCAACTGTTGCTGCTGCTGCTGCTGCTGCTGGTGTGGTCTTACCTCATAGCTGGTGTCCATGAAGGGCAATTTGTCGAACGGTGACATTAAAAATGGATGCACTGTGCTGGAAGCAATTGTTGCTGCTACTGCTGCTGCTGCTGTTGATGTTGCTGCTGCTGTTGTTGTTGTTGTGGTTGCAGTTGTTGCTGTTGTGCTTATTGTTGTGTGCGGCTTAGCCGTTGTTGTTGTTGTTGTTGTTGTCGACGTCGTAGTTGATGACGTGTTTTTGGTTTTGGTACTTGTTTGCGCTGCGGTGGCCATTGAGTTGTTCCTGTTGCTGCTGTTGTTGCCGTTGTTGTTGCTGTTGCTGCTGCTGCTGGCGGGAGTTCGACGCGTGGCTGCTTGACCTTTGTATCTGGCGGGCTTTGTTGTTATTGTCGTTGGCTGTTGGCGTCTGTTGCCTGACGGTTTCTGCTTCGTTTTATTTCCCTTTTTGTGGCCACGTGTTGCTGTGGGCGTGGCAAGTGGTCGTGCAGTGCTTGTCGCCGTAGTTACTTTTGCGTTTGTTGCTGCTGTTTCTGTGCTGGGCAGCTCGGTTGAACGCGTTGGCAATGTCTTAAAAGGCGGCACTGTGCTACTGTTGCTACTGTGGGCCAGGCTGGGCAGGTTCATGCCCAGGAGCTCATCCAGCAGCTCATCCAGTTTACTGATCTCATTTTTATCTATCAGCGGTGTTTGTTTAGTTTTTATGGTTGTTGTTGTTGTTGGTGCTGTTGGTGTTGTTGATGGCGTAGCTGCAGCTGTTGCCTTGAAGCCGGAAGAGCTGCTGATGCTATAGGTGACACTCTCAACTTGCTGTTGCTGTTGCAGCTGCTCTTGCGTTGGCTTCTTATGCTGTTTGTCCTCGATGAGTGTGTCGAGATCTGGCGGTCTTTCCGTGTGTATTACATCTTTGAAGGGATCTGGCGTTGTGATCTCTGTGATAGGTTCCACAAAGAGCAAGGTAAAGAAATAAATAGTTATAGTTGGAGAGTGTGAGTATATACACAATTGCCAAAGTCCATTTGAAAAGCTTATCTATGCTGGATTTTCGAATGTTTCCGTTTTTGTCCCAACGCACCATGTTTAATAATATGCTCAAAAAAAGAATAAAAAAAAACCTCGAAGAGGATTAAATAAACTAAAGGCACGCGGAACTCGATGCATTGTGCCGAAGTTACATTTTAAAGCCTGTTAAACAGAAAATCTGAATACAAGGTTTCCAGTATTGCGAATGAAATTTTCCAAGCCCACATCGTTATGTGCACTAGTAAAAAATTGAGCTTTTTATAAATCAATCATTCAGTCGAGTATTTGAGAAATATATATTCCAGTCTTAAATAAATAGCAATTTTTTAAGACCACGTCTTAGTGTGCACTAGTGAAACATTGAGCGTTCCATCTTCGTTAATCAATCGGTCATTCAGTCAATCAGTCAGTACAAATATATATCAGCAATATATCTAAACATTTTCGTCTTAAATAGAGAGAAACTGTCCAAGGTCTTAACGTGCTCTAGTGAAAACTTGAGCGTCCCAGCTTCAGAGGCTTGAGCTGTTAATTTTTCATCAATCAAGCAATCAATCAGTCAGTCAGTAGGCCGTCAGCACAAACAGATTTCAGTAGTATATTTAGAATTTTTCGTCTTAAGTAAATAGAAGAATTCATTTTAAATAATCAAACAGGCAACTGCTCTACTCTCAGTTACATCAGGCTCAAGATAATATTTCTATAATGAAAGTAAGTGTCTCAAAATCTTACCGATTGATGCGGTGTCGTTATCTTCCCGTTCTGTCGTTATATCGATAATATGCTGTGTGACATGATAGGTATCGCTCAGAAGAACATTCGATGTCACATGCTCTTGGAGCACTTCTCCATCGATTACCAACGGCTCCTTGGGCATAAAGCCGCCCTCTGTTTCGGTGGGTGGTGAGAAACCGCTGTGCTCGGGCGGTTGCACCACCTGTTCCTTAAAATCATACTTGACATAGCCAGAGCTGCCCTCATACTGGCCGCCCACATGCACCACCGGCTCGGGTGGTGCTACTGCTGCCGGTACTTCCACATTGAATTTGTATTTGTAGGCAGCCTGATCGTTGTGGTTGTTGTAGCTGTTGGGGTGTTGCGGTGGCTCGGCGTAGGGCGAATCGTAATCAATGCCCATTTTATCGGCAGCCAGTGGTTGTTGATAGTAGCTGTGGCTGTTAAAGCTTTCCGATGGTTGGATTTTCGGCGCTGAATCCACCGCATCCGTGGGTAAAAAGGGTATGATTTTTAGATTAGGCAAGCTGGGCGGCAATGTGGGCGCCGTGCTGTCACCGTCATCCAAAGGTTCCGCTTCCAAAATGCTCGGATTTGTTTTGATAATAAGCGGTACAGTGGTGGTGCTGGTGGTGCTAGTGGTGCTGATAATGTACGGTGGTTGTTTATGTTTGATTTGGGGTCTAAAGGTGGTTTTAGGTTTCTGCGTTGTTGTTGTTGTTGTGGGTCTGCTGCTTGTTGTTGTTGCTTGGCTTGTGGTTGTTGTGGTGCGTCTTGTCGTTTTCGGCTTAGCTTTGGTGGTTGTAGTTGTGGGCCTGTGCGTGGTTGTGCTGGTCGCTCTCGTGGTTGTTGAAGTTGATGTAGGTTTAGCTGTGGTTGTTGTTGTTGTTGTTGTTGTTGTGGTGGTGCTGGTGGTGGTGCTTCTGCCGGGTATAGTTCTAAATGTGACTGGCTGTCCGTATTTGCCAGTGACCACTACCATGGGCGGGCTTACTGTCAGATTGGCCAGCTTGGAGTTTATTCGCGTGTGCTGTGGCTTATTGCTGGGCAGTGGACGGAATATGGGTGGTGCATGTGCAATAATTGGTTGTCTAGTTGTGGTTGTTGTTGTGCTAGTGGTGCTGATATTTCCCTCAAGCATGACGGAAAGACCATCATTGAACAGATCAGCTGGCTGTGCAGTGGTGCTAGCCAGTGGATCCTTGGGTCTGGGCCAACCCGCCGCATTGGCAATCGCAATTTGCTGCGCCTCCGCCGGCAGCTCACCCACCGCAATCTCGCCGTCAGCCAAATGATCATCGAAATCATCCGCAATACGTTCAATGCTGCGCACTGTGGTGCTGGGCAGGGATGCCTCAGTCGGTTGGGTCAGTGCAGTGGTGGTTTCCACCAATGCCTCGGTCACCGTTGCGTCGGCCTGGACAAGATCCTCCTCGTCGGGACCCAGCAGTAAGTCTACCCAGGACAAGGGTTTCTTAGCGGTTGTTGACTCCGGAATCGGTTTGGCTGCATGCTCCGTGCTGGTTCCGAGTAGCAAGTCCAGAAAACTTAGCTCTGTGGTGCTGCTCACCTCGGTTGCTGGCAGGTTCGCTGGGGGCTGTGGGGTGGCTGTGCTTGGTAGCCCCACCAGATCCATGTTGTTGGCCAGCATTTGATTGTTGTTGCCATCGATGAACTCCAGACCCTCGCGCAGGGTGTCCAGGATGCTCTTCTCGCTGCTCGCCTGCAGTGCATCTCCCACGGGTGGCTCGGTGGGATGACGATCGAGCGGATAATGTTCGGCCATGGTATTTTGCGGCATCAGCACAGAGGCTGCCGCAGCCTCCGCCTCCTGCTCCTCCTTGCCAAAGAGCAGATTGTAAAGATTGAATTGGCGCGAGCTCTGCGAGCGTCGATAGTCCCGCTGGCTGCCGCAATCATAGCTGGAGGGGCAGCACTGGCCCTTGGGCACCACCGGGATGCAGTTCTTCAGCGCCGGCGCACACTTCTTGGGCGCACAACGTCGCGTGCCGCGTATGCAGAAGCATATGTCGCACGGCCTGTCCGCATCCGAGCGCATCTTCTGGCCCTCCGCGTAGAACTGGGCGCCCACGGTGCAGCCCCGATTCCGCTGCAGTCGCTGCGACATGCGCTGGAAGTGCTTGTTCGAATTCTTGCGATAGCGCACCTCCTGCGATGATTTACCCGATGTCTTGCTGCTGCAGTCGTAGCGCACTGGGCAACAGGTGGAGTCGACGAAAATGGGCTTGCAGCCCTCCACAGGCAACATGCACTTGGGCTTGACGCACTTTTCGGTTCCGCCTGAAATGGGAGGAAATAGTAGGTGTCAGTAAAATGTTCAGTTGGTGGGATTCTTAGATCTTATTAACTAGTCCTCAAACATACTGTTTTCAGTTATTGTTACTTAATAATTGCGTATACTATTCCGACTTTCTGTTCGCAATAATATCCTCACTTGATTCCTTTGCATATGGACAATTTCTATTCCCTAAACCCTTGTTGTCTTTCACTTACCAATGCAATAGCAATAGCTGCATAGATTCGATGAGGACATGGCCGATCCGGACTTGTACACTGTTCCATTCTTTACGCACACTAAAACAAGAAGTTCCTTGGTTAAATGAATCGAATTATTTTTAGATTTTATATACGCTTACCAAACAAGTCAACGTCGGAGTCATCCGAGCGTCTCTGCAGCATGTTGTCATTGACCACACGATCGATGGACTCCCGCTCATAGTGATCTAGGTAGGCGATGATGCGTCGCTTGGTGGGTATCTTATAGAAGGCATCCAAGCGGGCACAGGAGAGGTAGGGACAGCAGCTGTTCTTCTTTTGAACCACCACACAGCCACGTGGCGGCGGCATCGGCATCTCCGGGCATACTTTCAGGCGACAGACGAGAGTCTTCCGATTGCACTGACAATTGAGGCACTTCTCCATGCTGGGCACCACCGATTTGTCCGCATACCAGGTGCCATTGTGATGACAGCCTGCAAGGCAGAAAGGCCAGAAAGAATACGAAAAATGAGTTTCAAAATGCTAAGGATTTATTCACACAAAGTCGAAAAACAAAAACACAAATGAGTTGATACTCTGTGCTATCTGCTTGAACTGGTTATCCGTTAGAATTCGATCCTATTGATCCATGCAGTAGCGATTAAATAGTTTCTGCGGATCGGCATAGTAGGAGGGAAAAGCGGCGCCAGATTTCATCATCTCAGGTGAGGCACCATAGCGGTACAGCTTTTTAGCGTGCGACTTTTTGTGCTGTGTAGGCTTTTGCTCCTGTTGCTCCCGCGGCTCATGAGTCTCGCCAGACTCGGCTGGCATCGCTGGGGGTAGCCACTGTGGCTGTGACTGCTGTTGGGGCAGCTGTTCCCTGCCCCACAGCGTCCAGTCGCCGGACGGCACGGGCTGCTGCAGCAGATAAGGTTGCACATGATTGCCCTGGGGACTGGTGACTACGATGAAGGCCTGTGCCGGTGCCATGGACGGCATGCTGAGTACACTGGTGGCCATCGTATTAGGCACTATGCTCTGTTGCGGTATGGGCAAGTAAACGGTTGTCTGATAGGGCATCTGCTCCTGTCCCAAATGCACATTATACTTTTGTGCCCACATATCAAAATACCGATTGGGTTGCATTTACTTTATCTTAACTACAACTCTTAAAGTAAATATAGAATTTTTGGGCTTAAGCGATTTGTTTTCAAGCTATAGAACGACGATGTGAAATGTGCGGAGTTTTGAATAGTTTCGAAATTTATTGCATAACAATTGATCAGAGCAAAGCTCACTAAGCTCAGCTGAGTATTTAGCAGTTCGAATATTATTTTAAGAAAATATCTAAAAATTCGAAAGTCTTTGTTTTATGAAAGTTTGAAAATTCCCATAAAAAACAGTTTTCATATAGGAAAATAAACAGTTAAAAAATAGAACTAACAAGATATTTCCATTAAGAATCTGATAAAGATATGCAAGCGTTTTTTTTATGTCAACTTGGAAATGGCTCTAACCTAAGCTATTCCTTGTTTTTTTTTATTTTAAATTAGCTTGCATTGTATTTATGATGTACATTATTTTTATCCTAACGCTATTTACAATTGCTATCAATATCTGAATATATATTTTATTATCTTAATTGATTTCCTAAGAAAACGTTTTAAAAATTAAATTGAATTTCCGAATGAAAACTTCGAGCTAAGCTAGTTTATGTTGGGCTAACTAGCACATACTTAAAACCAATTTAAAGTTATATTTCTTGTCTATTGTTACCACAGTTGGGCATGTTTTTGTTGTTTGTTTCATGCATCGTAACTCACCTGTATTCTGCGTGATGAACGCATCCAACTGTGCGGGCAGCACAGAAATTAATGCCACCGATAATATGCTGACTAAGCGTAGCGTCATCTTTGTTTCTCCTACCCCGCCCGCTACTACTGCTCCTCCTCCTTCTCCTTCACCTCGGGTCGTTGCACGCATGAATAATGCAAAAGGGGGCAGCTTCAAGCCCAACTCTAATTCCGACTGCGACTCCCAAGTTCGACTTGCACTTGAAGTGTGGCTCCAGTGCGGGCTCTAGCAGCGGCTGCTTTGTGATTCGACTGTCTCTGGGCAACAACTGGTCTGGCTCCAGATCCCAGTACCCAAGTCCAGGTCCAGCTACAGCTGGGGTCGTGTCTAATGCGTGAAATGTGTGTCACGCAGCAGCAACTTTCCAATGACAAGCGAATTGAAGCGTCTGCCGGCAACTGGTGGCCAGCGCATGCTCAGCTCATAAGCCGAATTCAACCAGATGGAATTACCCGCACAATGGTCGCTATGCCATCGAACAGCACTTGGCAAATGATACAGGTTGCTAACGCTGTTGTTGTCCCTCTTGTTGCTGTTGTTGTTGCCAAAGTTCTGCCACACTTTTAATGAAGCATTTACCAAAGAAATTTGTTGACGCCGTTTATTGTTAGCTGTAAGACAACGAAACCACAAAAAAAAAGTGATGTTAGAGAGCGGGATGACAGTCAGGTGAGTGGACTGCCTTATAAGTACTCCATATAGTTATTATAATGGCATAATAAGTGGACAGCTCAATTTGGGTAAAGCAACGACCGCTTTCAGCTGTGCAACGCTCGAAACCATCTGAAAAATTGAGATAAGCATCTGAGTTTTTGGCATTTCGTGCTTTATCTAGGCATTTTGTAGAAACAACAAATATTGCGTACGCTGGTTTTCTCTAAAGCAAAGGCATTTCAAGTGAAATGCGTTTAGTTTCACATTTTGGACTTATCACATAAAATAGTTGAGCGTAGCTAAGCTATTAGCATACTCTTGATTTTGGTTTATATGCCCGATGAATATGCCTGCATTCAATTTAGAACCCAGTCGTATTGCCAACCTGGAAATATGAATACTTTACGCTCTCGCGAGCATACGACTTTCTAGTTCTGCTTTGGCCTCTATTCGTAAACGTTTGCAATGCTTAAGAAATGCATACACAATTTAGTGAGGTATTATTCCAAATAATTTTAATATGTAAATAGATAGAATGAAAAGGGAATAATAAAATATATTTAAAAGATCGCTGCTTCTATATTTGAATATTAATTTTAGATAAAAGGGCAACATCGTTTCTTGAATACATGTTTTTACTTATTTTAAGCAAAATCGAACTAAATTCATTGAAGTTTGCATTTCATTCCTATTCCTATTTATTCCCCATGCACTGCTCTGTTTATCACTTGTCCGGCACTTAATACACTTGCACTATTATTGAAAACTTGATGGGTTTGTTTACATTTAGCATGTGTTTCCCCTCATACACTAGAGCACACAGACATAAATTAACAAAGCAAATTGGCACATAGAGTCAAAAATAGGGCAGATAATTATGGCAAACAATCTATCTCAGTGGAAACAGCATATTAATTAAATTCGCAGCTGAATTCTAGACACGAACCGCGGCTATAAATAATAACAATCAACCAAAAATAAAAGAGAAACAGCTTTAAAATAGAAGATGAAATAAAAGAAAAACAACAACAAACAGAAACTGGTACCCAGAATCAGCACAGCATCAAGAACCACTCACACTCGGACGTGTCTTGGTTTCCCAGTTGCATGCGAAAAGCCCAAACAAACAAATAAACCAACGTGAAAATCAAACAACGCCACAGCAAATGGCGGTCATTGCCAGTGAAAGAGCCAAAACGACGTCTTCGACTTGTCCAGAACGAAAACACGAATCGCAGCACTCGTCAGTTGCATGCACCACTGCATCCACTTTCATTGAGAACGTGATTAGCAGAGCAGAGCTCGACAAACTTGCATGCAAATGCAGAACATGACACAAGGAACATCGTGGATGCTGTGTGTTCGCCATAACGAAACTGGGATACCCTAACCGAATCTAGTGACAACTAGTAGTGGATATTTACCATACACATATCTACAATGTTACCTTACGAACGGGTGCAACGGGTTAGCCTTGTAATGGGTTTGACAGAGTTGTCGTCTTTTTAATTGACATTAAATACGTCCAAGAGTTTAGAGTTGTACTCAGCACACCGTGAAAACTTAACAGAGCTGTCACCTTTACAATAAATTTAAAAAAAAAACTAAGAGAAAACCCATGTTACTAAATAAAGAGTTGTAATTGCGCAATTCTGAGAGCTGCTTCTTAGCACCGGCATGCTGAGCACGAAATTCAGGGTTTGAACTCCTGTGAAGACATAAATTGTGTATATGCGATAGTTTTAAACAGACTGACAGGGTTGTCAAACACAAAAAAGTGGTTACGCGAATGAAAATATTAAGTCAACTCATGTTGAAACAATCAAATATATATATGTATTTTGTGTGTAACAAGTCGCTCGAGTAGCCTGGCATGCCCACTTAAAATGACAGAAAGTGCGACATGATCAAGAAGTGCGCTTAATTGGAGCTCTCATGCCATGGTGTTCGTACATAGAAAAAAGACTCGGCTGATGCGGTTCGTTCTCATGACAAGTTTTAATCAAGCTATTATCTTAATGTCAAGCCTCTGAACTGGCGCACTGCGATCTAAGCTGAAACTTTCACGCTACCAGTTAAAGCTAAAATTAAAGAAACAACAACAGCAAACGAAGAAGTTTCAGTTTCACACAATAAATCACTGCAGTTGACTTTTATTTTTGCCTGTTTTGGGTTTTGTTAATTGAATTCACTTGGCGCTTATTTGCATGCCTCGAGCGCGTACTTGGCCATGAAAAGTTGGTAGAATTCCCCCCAAACCAACTTAGTTTGATTTGTCTGTGGAAGAGGCACTCTCTTACGTTCTCTCTTAAGCTGCCAGTTCTCTTTCTCTTTCAACCTTAAGAGAATTTCGTTGCAGAGCGAAGTTAGTTGTTGGCCTAGGGCCTAAAGCTGGTGAGCACTTAATTTGGCACTTTCTTTGCGTGAAAATTGCAGCTGGCAGCTGTTGAAAAGCTACTGGAAAACTCAATCAACTTAATTACAGCTCTTTAGGGCGAGTTATATTACAAAAGAATTGTGAAGAATCGTAGTTACAATTAAAATGTGTATTCGGAACGTGTGCATAAAGCTCATAAATAAATAACAGTTATTACGAGTTATGAGATACAAAAGTCTCCCTCCAAAATCAAAGCCAAAGCCAAAGAAAGCTGATTTCTGCGGCTGTGGGAGCAATTGTCTTACCCGAGAGTGTGTCCAAGAACTCAAGCTCAACTTCATAACGGGGCCAGCAATTACGCCCCAACAACATAATTTTTGTCAAAAGCTACACTGCGAGAAATGCTAGACAAATTAATAAAGCAATTAATTTTGATTATGTCTTGACTTGGTTACCCGGCGAAAGTGGCAAATTAAGCGCCTCGGTTCGGCTCGGTTTATTATTTTAGGAAATTTGAACTTAACTCATAATTTCTGCAACCCAGTTTCAACGTAGTTAAGATTTTGGCAGCTAGATTTGGGTACCTAGTTAGCCAAATTGAGTGTTCAGTTTAAGAATTTAAGTCTTGACAGAAAGATTTTACAATGGGTTTTAATTGTGGACTTGAGAATGAGCATTGAGTGTGAGTTATTCATTAAGGCGCTTGCTTTGGAGAGTGAATAAAAGCAGTTTTAAGATATTTCAAAAATGTTGAAAGCTTTAATGGGAAATCAAGGTAAGCTACAGAATGCGGTTCTAGCCATATATTAGAACGTAATTGTGGGTTCAACTAAATGAAAGATTCGAAAGCACATTAAAGCTTCAGGGAAGCTTTTAAATGATGATGTAGAATATGCCAATAAATGAGCTTTCAAATCACATTAAAGCTTTTGAAAAAACGCGTTGTAAGCACATAAAAACTTTTATAAAGATCCTAAGCTGTATTGATTGAAGCCGAGCTTATATTTATTGAGCAAAATGTCTCATACATTGACCAATTTTGGTGTCCATCATTTAGCTATGCTTCTTTGGAGCCACCAAAGAAATCAACCCAGTTAACTGCAGCTTTGTTAGCTGTGCCATATACCAATTCACAAATCTTTAGCTTAGGAAGACGCATAACTAAATGAAGACAATGCACAGACAATGCTTCTTCAGTTGTGATATCTAAAAAAATAGAAAAAATAGATTGAAAAAACTTGCAGAGCAATAAATTCTAAAGTGCGACATCAATTCAAGGCAATAAATTAGCTATTGAGCACTTGTGTATCTTGTATCTGACAGATACGTTTGTTGTTGCTGCTGCTGCAAACGATTCGCTTGACTATTTGACACAGTGGCAACGCCCCACTGACAGATTTTTGTGTCCCGCTTTTGGGCCATATTATTTTTTGGGGGGCTCTGCACTGAATTTGGACTTGGACTTCAACGTTGATTTGTGAAAGGCGCGCAACTGGGCTGCAATCTGGGCCTCGAATCTGCCTCAATTGGCTACTGGGCATATTGCGCGCGTTCTAACTTATAATTTGTGGCAAAAACTTTCACCCAGGCCGAGGCAGAGATTATGTAAATCTGAGCCAAGATAATAATAGAGCCTATATTTTCACTTTTGCAAATCGAACGCGGGCATTGAAAAACGGAAATCGAAATCCAATTGACTGAATGAAGTGAGTAGCATACGAATCAAGTGAATAATAAGTAGAGAACTCGGCTAGTAGAGAATTCTCTTGTTGTTATTCTTTAATGGCCATTTCTAGCTGGGCCATTTCATACCGAGTGAAACTTGTGCCAGTTGTTGTTGCTGCTGCTTTTTGTAGTGTGCCAAAAGAATTTGTAGCCCACGCGTGCTCACAATTTTGGCCAGATTGACCATTACGAACAACACCTGGCCATAAAAGAAGCGTCAGCTTGTGGGTACATTTAGCTTCATGTGTGGCTTCCTAAACCTATAGTATATTCTGGACACACACACACACACGCAAACAAACACACAGCAGCAAGTTGAAGTCTCAGGCATTTTACACAGCGCGCAATTTTCATGTCGAACTCACAATTGATGAGACTCTTGCCTGACAGACAGCCTGTTCCACTCGCCCGCTCTCTTCTTCACAGTGTACAGACAAATGCCTGTCATTTGTTGGCAGGCAAACATAGGTACCCAGCTGCCCCCCTTGGCACTCCCTGCCCCTCGACAGTGCCTACCATAATCAATCCACACGGCAGCGGCAGCGGCAGCTTCACGTTCCAAGTTATTAAAGCCGCGAGGGCTCAATAAATGGGCGTCGTTTATGCACCTCATCATCAGCGATTGCAGTGATCGGCATCGAATACTTTTTGCAGCTCTTTTTTTTACCTTCTTTCTTCTTGTTTCAGTTTTTTAGGTTTTTTATTTTTGCCAAGCGGAAGTTGTAAATGAAAAAAAGAACAAGAACGCGCTAAGCTTAAATACGCACAACGAACAGTGCATGCCCTTACAAAGAAGAGTATTTGCATGGAAGATTTTCAGATGAAAAATATCTAGATGGAATTCTCACTAATTCT